ATAATATATATATAAATTATTATATATTTACTATATACTACCTTATATATATTTCCTTGCTCTTTTACATCCTTTCTTTCTCCGCTCTCTCTCCCTCCCAATCTTCTCTTTTTCTCTCCCTGGCTTTATCTGTCTTTCTCATTGTCTGTTTGCCTATAGTTCTTTCTATTTCATTGTTTGCCCCTCACTTTCTCTCTCCCTGTCTTCATCTGTCTTTCAATCAATATCTACGGTTTGCCTCTAGCTTCTTTTATTATTTTATTGTTTGCCCCTCTTTTTCTCGTCTTCATCTGTCTTTCTCATTCTTGGTTTGCCTATAGTTCTTTCTATTTCATTGTTTGCCTCTCTCTTTCTCTCTTCCTACAGCTTTCTCTGTACCCTTCCCTCGCTCCTCCGTTCCTCACCCTCTCGTTCCTCTCGCTCCCTCGTTCTCTCGTACGTCTCATTCCCCTTTCCCTGCGTATAACCATGCTTCCTCTGTAGGTTACAAATAAAGGCAGCCCAACCTTCATACTATTCAGCCCGGGGCCTCTGTTCAAGGCCCTTACGTGCCGATGCAGGCCCGCCGCGTAGGTTGACTCACCTTAAAAGCTTCAAAGAACTCAATGATATCGGCCGCCGTGCCGATATAGACGAGCAGAAGCTGTGAGAGCTCATCTCGTGTGAGGTCGCCCTTCGGCAGCAGCCAGCGACCAATGATGAGCAGAAACAAAAGCAGCTGTTCGATGGCCAACACCCAGTTATCGTTTGACAACTGAATCGGGATGTTCAGGGTGACCTTCATCGATAGAACGTCGCGCCATTGTTATATCACGTGTCACGTACAACTAGGCAAATGTAATAGGCAGAAACGTAAAAGCGCATAAACGTAAGCATATAATAAACAAGAATGTGCAGCCGAGAGCTCATAAACTACCATCAATTATTCCATCACTGTATATTATCTATGGTTGACGGGCTATTTGGTGAAATACAGTATCAAATTCAGCGCCAAAAGATGCCACGGACACATGGTTTTATCCGCGAATATACGCGTCCATATACGCCGTTTATGCATCCGTTATCATTCTATTTATTATAATTCATGTAACACGCTCGTTTCAAATTCGTTGTCAAATTCGTGATTCAAATTCGTAGTCAAATTTTAAGGTTACCAATTGACACACAAGTGTAACTAAGAGATATAGATGCCATATTGGCGAAGTATAGAGATCGCAATAGTGCCCGGGATGGCAGTTAGATCACGCGATTGTAATGTAGTGTCACGTGACACTCGTTTACGGCGTCATCGCAATAATGTATTTCTCCAACTAGGCAAATCTAATAAGCAGAAACGTAAGAGCAGAAACTTGAGCATATAATAAACAAGAATGTGCAGCCGAGAGCTCATAAACTACCATCAATTATTCCATCACTGTATATTATCTATGGTTTCATCACCCGCCATTGCTCCCGCGGCTTCCCCCGAAAAAAGCTGACTGCGTGTATGCTTGCACGTGTGTGTGCGCGTGTGTGTGCGCGCGTGTGCTCGCGTATGTGCGTGCATGTGTGACTATGCGTGTGCATGTGCGTGCATGCGTGTGGACATGCATGAGTGTGCGTATTTCCGGGAGTCAGAAGTCAGTTGTTCTGTATCTTCAGCCCCTCATGGATTTGCTCAAATAAATCATCGTGAATAATTTATCATAATGCACGCTAAACGTATTATTTATTACTCATTTACATCATCGTAGACAGAGAACACACGCACACACACACACACACACACACACACACACACACACACACACACACACACACACACACACACACACATATATATATATATATATATAAATTACACTCCTGATAGTCGTTGTGGACTCCTATAATAGTTCGCCGTTGTGTATGTCAGCGGAGGACGTTAATTTGTCAAAGATCGAAATTTTAATGTTTCCTGATTCAGCGCACAACGCCAAGCCACTTATCCTATATGCACTCTTTGACTTTATCAAACGGCTGCTTACGTAAGTACCATCAATTATTCCATCACTGTATATTATCTATGGTTGACGGGCTATTTGGTGGGATACAGTATCAGATTCAGCGCCAAAAGATGCCACGGACACATGGATTAATCCGCGAATATAAGCGTCCATACGCTGTTTATGCATCCGTTATCAACTATTTATTGTCATTCATGCAACGAGCTCGTTAGTAGTCAAAGTTCAAGGTTACGAACTGACACACAAGTGTAATTAAGAGATATAGATAGTATAGAGATCGCTATAGTGCCCGGGGGATGCAAGTTTGATCACGCGATTGTAATGTAGTGTCACGTGACACTCGTTTACGACGTCATCGCAGTAATGTATTTCTCGATGTCATCATTTTATTCATAATTCGTTTCAATCCGAACTGCCGGCAGGCATAGCAATTTTGAATTTTGTCAAGAGATTTTCAGGTAAACATCACAGATGCGATTCGTCTGCCAATCGTGCCTTAAAAAAATTCCGATTGGCTCTCGCGGTCTGTGCGCCAGTCAACGTAAGTAACGTGAAGCCGTATGTTATATACCTGTACAGATATCGTTGCTTCGTGGCTTAGTGCGTTGTGATTAGCATCCTACAGTGGTAGGTAAATGACAAGTGTTCCCCTGTCAAGCACGCGTGTGTGGCGATTTTCCTCTCGCTTATATACATCACTGTCAGTTTTATGTAGTGGCTGGCCATAATGTAAACACGTTTAGGAGCCCATCGAAAATATCTACTCGCATCTCTCGAGAGACTTGAACTTTTTCCCGCTGCTTTGACGCATCGTTATTAACGGGGTATCAATTCCCTCCACGCGCTTGTTGTGCAACTGCTGAATTGTGAACGTGTTGAGTGCGAGTCTCACTCGACGCGTCGAGTGAGAGCTCTGTTCTGGGATCACTACACGCAAACTCCACGACAAATGACGCTCTCGCTCTGGCGCAATTTACAGTATCCTGAGTTCGTTGTACGAAGTATTTTTAAGTAAGTTTACGGAGTACGTTGTACGAAGGCCTGCTGTTTGCACTACACGAACACACCGCGCGATGCGACGCGCAACATGTTAGAACTGCTAGCATCTATGACAAATACGACATACACATATACGCTCTCCTATGACACTATTTGTCATAGGAAGATTCTTCCTGTGACAAATATTGGCGCGTCGACTTCGTTCCGCTTTGCAGTTGAAATTCACTGCTTGCGTTTATAATAGCGCTCCTAAACTTCTATGATGCGCACAACATATACAACAATATTTGTCATAGGAAGAATAGTGTCATAGGAGAGCGTATATGCGTATGTCGTATTTGTCATAGATGCTAGCAAAGCAGGATGGACACGCGCTTGCGCAGAACGAGATAGATGTCATTTGCGTAAAGATGGGGGGGGGGCATGCCCGTGTCAGTTACGCACAAGTGTCATAAATCTGGGGCCCGTTGTCAGAAACAAAATTAGTCTTAACATTAACTTTTTCTCTTAGACCGTTGACAGAAACGCTGCGAAGTTACCTGATAGAAAAATCGTAGCAGATTTCCTCATAACAATACGAAACAAAGTGCTGTCGACGGTCTATGAGAAAATGTTAGTGTTAAGACTAATAATAATGTTAAGACTAATATTGTTTCTGACAACGGACCCCTGAGATTTGCTGATGTAGCATGCGCACGCGCACCCGGATTTCGGTCTGGCAAACTCGGAATGAGAAGGAATACATATAGACAGGTTTCATCCCCCGCCATTGCTCCCACGACTTCCCCCCGAAAAATGCTGACTCCGTATGCGTGTGCGTGTGTGCGCGTGTGTGTGCGCGCGTGTGCTCGCGTATGTGCGTGCATGTGTGACTATGCGTGGGCATGTGCGTGCATGCGTGTGGACATGCATGGTGTGCGTATTTCCGGGAGTCAGAAGTCAGTTGTTCTGTATCTTCAGCCCCTCATGGATTTGCGTCCCTCAATAATTTATCATTACGCCACGCTAAACGTATTATTCATTACTCATTTACATTAACGTAGACAGAGAACACACACACACACACACACACACACACACACACACACACACACACACACAC